AGCTGTCCGACGACCCGGCACAGGCAACGTGGACCAGCGGCCGCAGCGTCTCGTTTCCCGACGTGACTGCGCAACGCGTACTGCGTGTCTCCCACTGGACGTCCACCCGTTTACATGGACTCGGACCACCATCTGCCATCCCACACTGCAGGGACGGAGGACGGCATCCCGCGACAGGCAAGCATGCTGCCACGACGGAAACATGTCGCCATTGTCCTGCGTGAAGCTGACTGTGATGCTTCCACCTCGGCGTGTGGAACACCTCTGGCCGCTGTAATCAAATGGTTGGAGATGCACCGCGGCACCGCACGAGCGGCAGCCGTGACAGTTCCACATGTATCTGTACGGAAGGAATGGAGCAGGCCGAGTGTGTTGCAGCGGCAGCCTGCCACGAGCAGAAGTGCACCGCAAACGGGAGGACCGCAATCATGCACTCCGCGGTGGCTTCTCCATGCTGCCAGGGGTCCGTGCGAAACAGCTTGGTGCCCTCTCGATCCCAGGCCTGTGATGCCTCGAGGCATGGAGGCACCACGTTCCTGCCCTCTGGGATCGGCTGTGCTGCGGTGCTGTTGGGACCGCGTCTGTGCTCTGCCTCCGCCGGAACCTATTCCCGATGTGAGCACCGCCACTCCTTACGGACAAGCAAGCGGCTGATGGACGTCCTCCTGCCCACTCCTCGGCAGACCGGCACGCGCCCTGCAGATCACAGGCAACCCTCTGTGTTGGTGGTGCTGCTCCTCCTCTCACTGAAGAGGCAGGACTGCCCCGACCTCCTCCGGAACCTCCACCTGGCGTGTCCACGGCACCTCCTCGTAGAACGACGAGCAGCGGATCAACGTCGCCCTGCCCAAGCTGCAGCAGCGTCTTCTCGTCCGTCCACAGTATGAAGGCACACGTCCGACGCACTAACCCTGGCACTCCAATCGTTGCAGAAGGCCTCACATGTGGATTCTGCGACAGCTCCACGGTCTTCCCAACAGGTGCCTCACGCGCAGGTCATCACCGAAAATGTCAGGCGTATCAACGAGAATAATCTTCCGGGCAGCTGGCCGGATCCTGAAACTCTATGGAAACCAAACAAGTTAGGAAAAAAGGTTCGTTAGTTAATTCTTTCAATGTTTTATTCTCATTCAATGTATAGAATTCTGTGGACCACTAGCATGGTCCTTTGCACTCAGTTAGGATTTGAAGTATTATAACTCACGAAGTGGCAGACTTTGGGGTCCTCCAACCACAAGACCCCGCCGCGTGGTGGGAATCAAGGGAGTGGGTGGGATGGCAAAATAAAAATAAAAATTTATCCGGCCTCTATCAGTTCCCGGCACCTACAAAGTCGCGTTCTTCCCAAAAGATTCATACGGTAGAAAATATCATAATGCATTCATTTATCAGGATATAAACATACATTAATTAAGTTAGCCAGCTCTCCCGCGATCATTCTTTTCCAAAGCTCCTAAAAAACGCGTGTATACATGTGGTGCTGGGAAACGTCTTTTCTCTCCATGTTACTTCGTTCACACACAGTTTTCACGGAAGTTGAACCCTCTAAACAAAAGCACCTTTTCCCAGAATAACAAACAACGCAATAAAATACCGGTCATTTTGCCCATCACCCGCAAGCAAAGAAGGACATGGGGAATGCAGTGAGTGTATTATATTGTTATTGCCACGGCCTGCACGTCTTGAGTGCGGGGTCAATGTGCCAAGTAAATACTGTCGCCTGCCGCAGTTTGATTGCGCCCAGCCGCCGCGGCTGCTCAAAGAGGCACCACCACTACCGCCGCAGCAACCACAACAAGAAGCACAAAGGGAACGAGGCCAGCGGTAGCAGCAGCCACACAACAATCACTGTCGGCCTGCTGTACCAACGCATCGGGTATCACCTGGAAGTCGTCGCTGTTGACGGACGGAATCGGAGTGGCAGGCGCGGAGGCACTGGGAACCACCGCTGGGCAATCCGCCCGCGGGTCGCCCTCCGCTCGTGCAACGTCCTCGCCGGGCGATGGCGCAAAAAAGCGTCGGGGCCGGAGGCTCTGTTGGCTCCCTCGCTCCCACTGCCAGGTCTCCTCCCTCGCCGCTGAGTGTTGTCCTCACTTTCGGTCCGCACCCCCAGATCACCCCTCGGACCGGCATGAAGGCCACCACCAGCGACACCCGCAGCCGAAGCACCGGGAGGCTCCTTTTCAATGGAGGCACCAGACGCCACAGGAGACAACTGTGGACGAGTATCCTCCTGAGAGGGCGACCCTGAAGCAACCGCAGACTCTTCTGCTTCCTCCTCTTGCTCGTCACCCTGTCCATCCACCAACGCACTCGGAACGACAAGACTGCTGCCGTTCGCGGCAATGGTGCACACCTCGCCGTACGTGAGGCATGTGATCCTCCCATCTTTCTGAAAATCTTTCAACGTCACTGGGATGTCAGTGTCCTCAGGGCAAGGCTGAAAAACACTGCTGCCGAGGTGCTTCATCCTCACTGTGCCCTCCTCACACGACACCTGCGCGCACACTCCCTTGACGCTTTTATGGCTATCACCGTCCTTCGTCTCCAGTAATTCCGCGTCCAGGCACAACGAGCCACCGCCAGTCAGCGACCCACGGAGATAATCCACATTTTCGTCCGAACACGTCCTGTACGTTGTCCCAGACGAGATTTCGTGAAATTCCAAAGAAACAACAGGGCAAACGTCCTTATCCACCAGATTCCCCTTGTCCTCAACGATGCTTGCGGTGCACGTCCCAACGTGACGGCGGTCGGAGGTGCAGCGAAGCGTCTCTGTGTCTTTAGCATCGCAAAACATGTGAGGATACTTGGCGGAAAGATTATCGGTTGTATTGCACTTGTTGACCAGGAAGTCGCAGCCACTGCGGCTGCCCAGCTCATCGGCTCCGCCATGCTCCAATTCACACGGTAGTATCCCATATCCGCAAACATCGCCATCATCAGAGCCGTGTAGTAGCCGGCACCAACTGTGGGGGCCATCAGCTCGTCCCGCGCGTGGCGTCCCTTCCAGTGAGGGACTTCTTTTTCCCGAGGGCCACCTTCGTCCTCCAGCACCATGCCCTTGAGAGAGTCACAACCAAAGTGCGCTTTCGCCTTCTCCTGTATGTGCTTCCCACGCACACTTCTCTCTCGCTTCTTCACCAGGCTCTTTTCTTCCATGCTCTCCTGGCTGAACCCAAGGACATGCGCAATTTCGTGTGCGGCAACGCGAACGCTCCACGCCGTGTCGGTCATGTACTTCGGATCGAAGTTCATGGCGCCAATGTGGGGGCGAAGATCCGTCGATGTGTTGCACGTGGCCGCCCACACAACGCACACGGAGCGAGCACCCACCACACCAGCCACAACCGCTAGTGGACCCTCATCCATCATGGCGCGGCACCAAAATTTCAGCCATCCCGCCCTCAATGGGGCACGGAGCCCAACTCAACGCAGTCACACGCGGTGCTCCACACCCGCAGGAAAGGTGATGCGGGCTGCGCACTCTATTCCTTCGCCCTTCTCCTCATGGCCACGGAGGAAGACAACAGCCGCCACACGCAACTGCCAGCATGCACTACAAAAGAAGCATTCAAATCCATTGCAATGTGCATCTTGTGTGTGTGTGTGGTTGTGTGTGCCTGCAGAAACACAAAGCAAAGAAGTAGAAAAGAGGAAGCAGAGTATGTGGAGGGACGCACAAAATGTACAGCGGGGACGCATGGCGGAAGCAACAAGAAGAAGACCGCTCAAACTCACGATTGCACTGTAGCCCAAGCAGCGACAATTCACACAAGATTTATCCAAAACAAAAAAAGCTTTCCCCTTCATCTTACACAAACCCCATCACACAAAATAATTATAAATAAATAAAAAAGAAATCGTCCATTACTGTTCCACAAATTAAAAAAGCTGCCGGCTGCCGTGTGGCCACACCAAACCGTCTGCATATATTTTGTCCGAAAATAAAATTAAAAGATATTTAAATGCCTTTCAAACGTCCGACCCTCTGTGTGTCCGCACATCGTTTATATTTCATGGGGTCATCCGCGTGTTGCTGCTCCCCTCAGCCCTCCCATCGGCGCGTGAGTGCGGCCCGCAGAGCACAGTCACTCGTGTGTGTGGGACTGAGAGAAGCACGCAGACGGCGGTACGGCCTCAACCTCAACAATCACGCACAGTGGCAACAAACACCCACAAAAAACAACAAAAAAATCACGGCGGCAGAGTGTGTGTGTGTGTGCGTGTGGCGCTGCGGGTGTCTGCCCGCCCTGGCCGCAATAAAACAAAACAAGAGGGAAAGAAATGTGTGCTCCGCCCCACAGGCCCTCGTCGCACGCCCACACGTCACGGCTCCCTCAGCGCGCCGTTCGTCGCGGCCCCTCCTCATGCGTGCAGCAGGCGAGGCGCACAGGGCCGTCGTCGTGAGCGTGTCGGTGGGTGTGCGAGTGGAGCAGTTGGGCGGGAAACACACGGCACCCCTCACAGGAAGAGTGCAGCAACAAACAATTAAAGAGGGAAGAGTAGAAAAGAAAAAACCGTCCATAGTGACTGCCCCCGAAAGCAAAGAAGAGAAGGGATGGGGGACGTTGGAAAAACAAACAAACAAAAAATGAAAAAAGAATTTTGAAACAAACGGAAAAAAAATTAAATTTACGAGTAAAACAGAAAAGCCGAAGCGTGGGACGACCAGCGCACACACACTCTCATTGCTCCCGTAAAGCAAAACACACACACAGGGAGAGAGAGAGGTCGCCCACTCAATGCAATAAAAACAAAACAGAAACAGTTACGGTGCTCCGCCCATGCAGCCAGGCAGGACGGCAGCGGTGCGTGTTGTGCAAAAGAGAGCACCAACGGGCCTGCATGGGTGTGCATGCATATATACAATGGGCACATTATTGTGTGTGCCTCGTGGGGTGAGGTGAGGGCGAGAGTCCATGCAAGGGGACACACACACAGAGAGAGTGAGAAGGACGAGTGTGTGTGGGCGGTGCACGGCTCTCTCTCCCTCACTCTCACGCGGCCACCACCGCAGCAGCAGCCGCACACGAAACAAGAAGAAGCAAAAGAGGGGAGGTGGTGTGGGAGACGGCAGTGCTGCTATCGCTGTCTTCCTTAATTGCGGTTGCATTTGTACCATTAGCAGTTTTGTCTTTCGCGGATTCTTCATCATTTCCTGCAGAATGTTCACGCTGTTGGTGTTGTTGCTTTTCATGCTGTTCTTGTTCTCGTTCCGGTTCTTCTTCTTGTAGAAGCTCTTGTTTTTCTCCAGAATGGTGTTCGACTGAATTATCCTGATCATGTGTTGCTTTTTTTACCTCCTCTTCTCCGACTCCTGTATATTGCAGTGCTTCTGCTGCTGCCTCTGGTGTCTTTGCTGCTGTTGCTTTTGCGTCCGCTTTCGTTGCTGCTGCTTTTTCTGCTGCTGCTGCCTCTGCTGCTGCTGCTTTTGCTTCGGCTGTTTCTGCTGCTGCTTTTGCTTTTGCTGCCTTTTCTGCTGCTTCTTTTGCTGCTTCTACTGCTGATTTTGCTACTGTTATTGCTGCATCTGCTTCTGCTGCTGCTTCTTCTGCTTCTGCTGCTGCCTCTCCTGCTGCCTCTGCCGCTGCCTTTGCTGCCTCTGCCGCTGCCTTTGCTGCTTCTGCCGCTTCTGTTGCCGTTGCTGCTGCCTTTCCTGCTGCCTTTGCTGCTTCTGCCGCTTCTGCTGCCGTTGCTGCTGCCTTTGCTTTTGTTGCTGCCGCTTTTGCTTCTTCTGTTGCTGCCTTTGCTTTTGTTGCTACTGCTTTTGCTTCTTCTGCTGCTGCTTTTGCTTTTGTTGCTGCTGATTCAGTTGCTTCTGCTGCTGCCTCTGCTGCTTTGGCTGCTGCCTCTGCTGCTTCTGCTGCTGTCTCTGCTGCTGCCTTTGCTGCTTCTGCTGCTGCCTCTGCTTCTTTTGCTGCTGTTTCTGCTGCTGCCTTTGCGTCAGCTGTTGCTTCTGCTGCTCCTTGTTCTTGTATTAACTGCAATCTCGCAACTGGAATAAATAATTCTTTCAGAATGTTGTCCTCCCCACCAGAAACAACACCAATATCTCCATCGGCCGGAACGGACCACAGCACGCAGAGGGCACACACCAGCAGCACACGGCCAGCCATCATCATCGCCATCACTCCTGTCACTTGCGTGCAGCCTTCAGCACAAACTAACTCCCCGTCAACGCAGAGTGAAAAAGCAAAGGACACGGCACAGTAAAAAACACCAGCAGCAGCAACACGCATTTCATGAGAAATATTGAACCAATGAAAGTGCAAAAACGCACAACGCTCTGTAATGATTTAACAAGAAAAAAAAAAAAGGAAAAACAGAACTAAATTAAAAAATCAGAAATGAGAAAAACAGTAAAAACACAAAAAACAAAGAAGAAGGAGCTGCAACAAACGGCTCCAGTGTGCATGCAGCAGCACACACAGACATGCGTCCACTCAAATAGTTGTATGCATGTCGTGCATACGAATGTGTCTGGTACGCGTGCCAAGTGACGGATACAGGCAGCAACGCGGAGCACACAGCAGAGCAGCAGAAGCAAATGAAGAAAAACACACAATCATTATTTTCTATTACTTATTACGCAATAAAACAAAAGAAACGCACAAATCCCCGTGGTTGAGTGCTAGCAATTATATTCCGCATTCAATTCTTCAGCCCAGTGTCCCGTAGGTGAGCGCAGCCAGAACAAGCGGTGACAGGGCATGCAGATGGGTGTCATGGAAGCAGGCGTCAGTTCCCACAATGTTCTCCAGAGCGTTCGTTGTGGGCGCAGAGGAAAGGGGAGCCGGCATGCTTGCCGCCGTAGCATTTCCTTCGCTAGAAGCAGTGTCGGTGGTGGTGGCGGCGGTGTCCTTTTCGGCGCCTCCCGCTGCGCCCCCGTCCTCGCCGGTCTGGGACAACTGAGTCGGTGGCGCAGCAGCGGTCTCTTCCTGCAGCTCCACTGGATGGTCATGGGAGGAGTGGTCGCCGCCTTCTGTGGGCTCCGGATCTGGTATGGATTCGGGTGCAGAAGAAGTAGAACGTCAATGGCCTTGAAGATCACCAGAGGGGGCGGAATCCAGTGCTCCCAAGGCTGCAGCAGAAGGATCCGTCGTGGCCGCAGCGCCAGCAACAGAGTTAGCACCAGCGCCGCCTGGAGTTACAGGTGGTGGAGGACGGTCACCAGCCGCAACCTCAGCGCCAGCAGGAGGAGAATCAGAATTTTTTTGGTGGCGTCACCGGGAGCCTTGTGCTCTTGAGGCCCCGGAGTAAGTGCTGCAGGAGGTTTAGCCGGAACACTTGCAACGGTGACATCCTTCTCTACGTTACTCTCCCACCAACTCTTCACCACGCTTTGAGTGGGCGATGTGACGTTGATCGTGATGACACCGCCCTTCGCAACTCCTTTGGCGCGACTCTCAACATCCTCGGACGTACAGTTTCCGTCGCCCATGCCGCAAATCTCCTTCCCCACACCATTATCTTCAACCGTGCAGTTGTACCACAATGAATTCCCAGGGAGTTGCCAACGCGCAAGTTTGCCACCAACATTACCGTCACCCGCACACTCTGCATTCACCTGCGTCACCTCCTGCTCTTGCTCCTCCCCTTCCTCCACGGCAAACACGCAAGAGCAGCAGCACAGCAGTGCCAGCACCAACACGACACAAAACACACGGCGCATCACCATCAAAAATATCGCTGTTGAATAACGTGGATTCGATCTGCAGGAGCATGAGAAAGCAAAGGGAGAGAGACAGCAGCTACACCACGCACAGCCACCGCATGGTAATAAATGGCAGCAGCCAGAAGAAGCGCACACCAAAAAGACAGATGGAATCATTACAACTGCAGAACTCGCACACCGCCACGCAAACCAAAACTTAAAAAGGCGGAAAAAACAAAAAAAGGAAAAAAAATGATGGGAGTCCAACAGAACTTCAGGGGAGGAATATAAAAAATCAATCGGGCAGAAATTCTATTTCATATGCCAAGCAGCACAAGACAACCGTGTGTGTATGTGTATAAATAATGCCTTCAAGAAAGAAAAAAAAGACAAATAAAAAAGATCGTACTGTTCCACCAGCCCGGACAACATTCTTCACATTTCATGCGGCATCCGGCCTGTTCCTCCAATCCTCCTTTCGTGCAGTCCGTGGGACGCACAGCAATGAGGCCGGCACCGCGTGTGGGCAGAAAAAGAAAACAAAAGGGGAATACGTCACTCGTGACAGTGTACATCTTCAACAATTGAAAAAGAAAAGCATTATTAAAACAATGCACCAAAATTAAAATAAAAACACCAAAGAAACGATCGCATACAAAAAGAAACATGCAGGCGTCACCACACACAAAAAAATGAAGCGTAATGGGAGTATTCCTATCCAGCCACAACACAAGTAAAACAATAAAAAAAAAGAAAAAAAAGGCCGAAGCGTGGGACGACCAGCGCACACACTCTCATTGCTCCCGTAAAGCAAAACACACACACAGAGGGAGAGAGAGAGAGGTCGCCCACTCAATGCAATAAAAACAGAAACAGTTACGGTGCTCCGCCCATGCAGCCAGGCAGGACGGCGGCGGTGTGTGTGATGCAAAAGAGAGCACCAACGGGCCTGCATGGGTGTGCATGCATATATACAATGGGCACATTATGTGTGTGCCTCGTGGGGTGAGGTGAGGGCGAGAGTCCATGCAAGGGGACACACACACACAGAGAGAGAAGGACGAGTGTGTGTGCGGGCGGTGCACGGCTCTCTCTCCCTCACTCTCACGCGGCCACCACCGCAGCAGCAGCCGCACACGCAACAAGAAGAAGCAAAAGAGGGGAGGTGGTGTGGGAGACCGCGGTGCTGCCGTCACTGTCACTGTCGGTATTCTTCGTGATATTTTTCACAGCTGCGGCTTCGACTGCTTTTTCCTTCGTATTGCCGTGCTCCTTTTCATCTTGTTTTCCTTCTCCTCTCCCTGCAGCATCGAATTCCGGTGCATTCTTCGGCGTCCCCTCATTACTGGTGGTATTGCTGACAGCTGAATCTGGTGGTGGCCCTTGCGTTGTTGGGGATTCGACGGGCTCATCTGGAATGGTAGCGTAATACGTACACATATCCTTAACCTCAGGGCCATGAATTTCGCTCGGCGTCTTATTATAAAAAGTATCACAAATCCCCTTCATCGCAAAGTTTATGCATCTCTTCATCGCTGGAACATTCACCGTCCCATTCTTCGTATTGTCCGTCGCGCATTCTTCGTGCGTCAGCTCATACCAATTCAAGATAATTTCGTCAGCAGGTGTTGTCTTACTGGCAGCGCCATTGGCAGAAGCTTCCGCCTCGTTGGCAAAACCACCGCCGGCACCGCACCACAGCACGCAGAGGGCACACACCAGCAGCACACGGCCAGTCATCATCATCGCCATCACTTCTGTCACTTGCGTGCAGCCTTCAGCACAAACTAACTCCAAATCAACGCAGAGTGAAAAGAAGAGAAAAGTTATTCAGCCACACACAGGACAAGTTATGGCAATTTGCACACACCATGAGGCAGTTTGAATCAGTGGGAAGGAAAAAAACACACACCGCCCTGAAAATCAGAAATTAAAAAAGAAGTTAAGAGTCCGGCAAGACTCCCGGGAAGGATGAAGAAAATAGATTAGGTCGCAATTTTATTTCATGTGCCATGCAACACAATATAGACGATCGTGTGTTTGTGTATACATCTTCCCCGCAAAAATGGCAGAAAATAATCTGATAAAAAAAGAAAAGATCTTGCTGCTCCACCAGCCCACACAAAATCCCTTATAATTCATCCGGCATCCGGCGTGTTCCTTCAGTCCTCGTACGTGCAGTCCGTGGCACGCACAGCAGTGAGGCCGGCACAGCGACTGGACAGGAAAGAAAACAAGATGGAAAAAACGTCACTCATAATGATGTGTAGAGCAGTCAAACAGCCATTGGGAAAACACAAAGATAATTATTATTCCAATAAAACGCAAGCAGCAAAAGAAAGAAAAAAAAAAATTAAAATGAGGTCCTTTACAACATTCGGTAAGCCACAGCGATGAAGTCGCACCTTTTCGCGGTGCTGGGCTCTGGTTGCATGTAGGAACTCCGCAGCAGGGCGTTGCTGCGAGCACGACGGAGACCAAGACGACTCCACCCCTCGAGAAGGTTCCACGCCATGCCCGGTGCGGGGAGGTGAAGCGGTCTGCTTGCACACTGTCGGGCAAAACTGCACGGCCGTTTCGCTGCGGTCACTCCGTTGATATCACCCGTGGCGGTGACGTTCACAAGAACTCTGGCCCGAGGAGGATGGCTAAATCACTAATTGGAAGCTCAACATTGCAGGCCTCTCGTCCGTAAAAAAGATTTCATCTACTGCGCGACTGGAGCAGCGTCCACCTGACATCGTTCTTCAGCAGCAAACAAATACTCAAAGTGCCACAGCGGCAAAACCATATGGCCATAATAGCTTTCTTCAGGCCGCACTGGGCGCGGTGGTGGCGTTGCCACTCTGGTGCGCCATTCTCTGCCGTGCGAGCGCCTGACGCTCCCTGGCACAGACCTCCTGGAGACCATTGCTCTCCGTGCAACTCCACAGGGATTTCCCAGCATCTGCGTGGTGAATCTCTACAGCCCTCCCACAGCAACCGTTAAGAGCTCTTCGTTTATTACTGCCATTCGTCGCTCAGGCCCCGCAGCGATTATCGCGGGTGACCTGAATTTACATCATGGACTCCGGGACAGTCATACGCCTTCAACGACTGGAGGTGAGGATTTGCCCTCTACTCTAATTGACATGGATTTCTGGCTGGCAAATGACCCGGCGCAGGCAACGCGGATCACAAATCGTAATGTCTCATTCCCTGACGTGGCTGCGTATCGTGTACTGCGTGTCACCCACTGGCAATCCACTCCCTACATCGATTATGACCACTGCTGAATATCTTACTCGGTGGGGATGGATGAGGGCGTTCCGCGACTAGCCAACACGCTGCCTCGGCGGGAGAAAGCCACTTTTGCCCTGCGCAAAGCGGATTGGCCTGATTTCATTTCGTTGTGTGAAACACTCCTTGCCGCCGCGTCCACATGTCTGGAAATTCGCAGTGGTATCTTACGAGCAGCTGAGCGCCATATCCCGCACAGCAGCCGCGACAGCCCAAAACAATCTGGACGAACGAAATGGAACAAGCCGAGCCCGCCGCCGAAGCAGCACACAAAGCACACATTGCCTCGCCAGAGACAGCCTGCTTCGAGCCGAATTAATCCAAAAAGTGGAGGACTAAAATCAAGCCTTACGCCGTAGCTTCACTATGCTTCTGGAAGCCCGCGCGGAAAAACCTGGGGCCTCATCCAGCCCAAGCTGGCGATATCTCCGCGGCGTGGCGGCGCCGCACCCTCATCCCCTGGAATCGGTGGTGCTCCGCACTGAACTTCGGACTGCGCTCTGCCTCGGCAACAGGCAAATCTGCTCCTCCCCCATTTTGTGCGGTTTCACGTGCCACATTACATTATACTGCTGCTGCTGCTCGTCGCGCTCCTTTGGTTCCTGGTGGCTGGGAAATGGATCGGCCTCTCACGCCGTATGTACCTGACGTGGCCGTCCGTGACTCTTCGCTCGGCTCAGCCCCTGGCCACGACAACATGTTGAATGAGTTCCTGCACCGTCTCGGGCCCGTTGCGCATGGCACACTCAGAACGATGATCCACAACTCCTTCGCAAATGGCAGCCTGCCTGGCTCCTGGAATACGGTGGACGCTATTCCCATTTCCAAACCTATGAAGGGCCCATGCCGCCCAGTGAGTTACGGACCTACCACGCTGCTCTCTTTTTCACTACACCGAAAGAATGATTCACCGCCGTCTGTCAGCGTTATTGCCGCACCACCCACGTCAATTTGGCTTTACACCTTCGCGTTCAACATCGGACGCGATGACAATTGTTATTGGTAAAATTACCGTGGATTGAATGAGTCCAGCACTGTGGAGTATGAGCGCTCTGGAGACGGCGCCCACACACAACACCCTCGTCACCATCGCTCGCTCGTGGCCTGATTGATTTTTCGACTGCGTTCGACACCGTTGACAATGGGAAGTTATTCGGCATGCTTGAGAGACTTCCGCGCCTTGGCCCCAAACCAACCGTCGGCTGCACAACTACCTGCGGGGCCGCTATGTTAGGGTATGCACTCGTGAACAGCACTCCCGGAAACAACTCACCTCAACTGGAGCACCACAAGGCAGCGTCCCGGGACCCAACTCTTCCCCCACTGTGTGGATGATCGGCCGCACCGCCTGGACAACATCTATTCTGCCGCCGCATTCATGTACGCTGACGAACACACACTTGTTGCCTCAGGTGCGGGCATCCATGCATGTGCTGCGGCAATGCCACCGGTCCTGTCACCTATAACGACATGGGCTGCCGAGCGCAACCTCAAAATCAACGTCGATAAGAGCGAAGCTGCTCTATTCCACATCTCTACACACACACTGTCTGACGAGGAAATGGTCGATCTCCATCTTGTTAGCGGGACAATAAGCATTCAGTCACACTCAGTGCGCTTGCTGGACACCACGGTTGAACGACTCCTTAATTTTCGTAAGCACGCTTCCACCGCTGCAAAGCAGACCATGCCACGCCGCTACCAATTGCGACCGGTCGCACAGGCTGGTGCGTCCCAACACAATACGCAATCCTTTTCGATTGGATACGTCCATGGTGTGTCACTGTATTATGGCGAGGCAATTGTCCCATGCCTTGCCCCCCACCTACCTCCATAATACGGAATTACTGTACCGCAACAGTTGTAAAACACACCTTGGCATTAGTGCACCAACGGAAGATGCATCTGTCTAATTGGAAGCCAATCTTCTCCCGCTCCGGAGGATACTCTGGCTCAGTGACACCAATCAACACGAACGCTATATACGTTTCCATAATCACGGGGATTTGAGTTCCCTTATCTACTCGGAACCTGTGCCGCTGTCCATGCATAGGAAAGCGGCGACATCAATCCCACCTCCGAGAGATGCCGTTATTAATGGATTAGAACGTGTATGTGGCACTATTGGGATACCACACAACCACAATCATACTATTCCTATTACCCAACATCGAATTATTCCCTGGGACGCCGTGGGCTGCAATAAAGTGGAATTTTATCAGTCACGCTTTGCCAACGACGCCTCTGACGATGTCAAGCGCACGGCTTTTAATTCAATTTACTTTTTCTAAGGAGATTACGATTTTGAATTATGGACGGACGGTTTTTCATCCCTCGCTGAACTCGCATCTGGATCCGCTACACCATTATACAGCTCCACAAAGACAAACGGTCTCTCTGTGGAGGTCCATCGTGCAGCAGCCGGCATACTCGCATGCTCATAGAGAGCCGAGTGCGTTGCGATCGAAAAAGGCATTAGACATCTCATACTTTCTCGTTCGGAAACATCCCAATCGCCCACACAAACCCCGGTGGCAACGGGATCCCTGTCGGCAATTGAGGCACTCCGCGTTGCCCCACTGGCCGTGCGTGACTGCGTTGCTGAAGAGATTTGGGTTATGCTGCTTTCCTTGGTGAAGCGAGCTCACCCCGCACACCTCATATTTCCCCATCGCACTGCAGCGCCCCACGCACTGAGGCCGCTGACGAAGAAGCCACGATTGCACGATCCCTGCAGCAATGAGGCGTCCCGATCTGGCACGTGGAATTCCTTGCCGCCGTCAAGGGGTTGTACTGGAAGGAATTCCAGGAGGAAGAAGAATTCGCACACACCGCACGCCAGGCGCTCGTCGGTGCAACAAAAGATCGTTCCTAGTGTCCAGGCAGACATCGAGCATCGAATCGCGACTTTGTGCGCAGGTGCGATGCAACTCCTGCCCACTCCTCAGCAGACTGGCACGCGCCCTGCGGATCACAAGCAACCCATTAGGTCGGTGGTGCTGTCCCTTCCTCACACCGAAGAGGCAGGACTGCCCCGACCTCCTCCGGAACCTCCACCTGGCGTGTCCACGGCACCTCCTCGTAGAACGACGAGCAGCGGATCAACGTCGCCCTGCCCAAGCTGCAGCAGCGTCTTCTCGTCCGTCCACAAATTTAAGGCACACGCCCGACGCACTAACCCTGGCACTCCAATCGTTGCAGAAGGCCTCACATGTGGATTCTGCGGCAGCTCCACGGTCTCCCCAACAAGTGCCTCACGCGCAGGTCATCACCGAAAATGTCAAGCGTATCAACGAGCAAAAAACGGACAACGCACCTCTGCAGGCTCCAATGACAGCCGTAGCCCTTCAGCCACTCCTCTGCTGCAATCACCACCAGCCGCTGAGCCCCGACAATCCACGGGAGACCGTGCCGCACACGCTGTGGGAATGCCCCCGTCCTCGGCAACTGAGCATCCGACTCTTTGGGAACAC